CTTCCCAACTTCAGTGTGCGTACCATCTGTATGCTGATGACTTGCAGCTATACTGTCATGCTAATATTGATAGGCTGTCCGATGCAATAACGATGATCAATAATGACTTGGGTACCATTAAGGACTGGTCTGAAATGTTTGGCATAGCGGTGAATCCTCTTAAATGCCAAGCAATCGTCATAGGCAGCCCTCGTACTTTGAGCGGAATGGACCCAAATTTACCGAATATTGTCTTTGACAGTGCCACAATCCCACTTAGTAGTGAAGTTAAGGATCTGGGCCTGTACATTGACAGTCATTTGAAGTGGCATACTCATGTCACTAGTGTATGTAAAAGGGTCACCGGATCCCTGCGGACACTGTATCGCCTGAAGAATTTGCTTCCGTCTGCTACGAAAGCAATGCTGGTGCAGGCCTTGGTTTTTCCTATTATAGATTATGCTGATGTTTGTTACTACGACCTGAATGCTGATCTACTCAATAAACTCGACCGACTTCTTAACAACTGCATTCGATTCGTTTTCAACCTGCGTAAATATGATCATGTTTCTGCACATCGGTTGCAATTGAAGTGGTTGCCCATACGCCAGCGCAGGGAGCAAAGGGCGCTAACCACTCTGTTCTCTTTCCTCAACTCACCTTGTTCGCCTAGCTATCTATCCTCTTACTTTCAATACTTGTGCGCAAACCACAGCAAAAATCTTCGTTCTTCCCATAACCGTCTTCTCCAATGTCCCACTCACCGCACTGATTTCCTCCACTCCTCCTTTTTTGTCCAGTCTGTCTTGCTGTGGAATGCGCTCCCCCCGGATGTCAGGATGGTGTCTAGTCGCTTGACTTTTAAACAAAAGGTTCGTGAGCTTTTATTGAAAGGTTTGGCTAAATCGTGACCACCATACATTATTATTAATAAGTATTAGTATATGTATGTATATAGTATATGTATGTATGTAGTATACTTATGTATGTATATAGTATATATATGTAGCAGTTATTTATTATTATATAATATAATTTGAGTATGAATGTAGGTATATGTTAGGGATATAGTAACTTGTACGTTAATAATACGCACATATATCTATCTCGTATGTCTTATCAGATTTAAAGTTAAGCCGTTTGCTTGCTTCTTGCACCGACCATTGGCTCATCTCTGCATCACCCAAGGTTTGACTGGTAGAAAATGCCTTAGGCATTAAGTCCGCCTATGTACCCATTGTGCATGAAGTTTAAATAAAATAAATAAATAAAAGTTACCGCAGCAAAATCTCGAATAACTTCGCAACCGAAGAAAGAACAAATACAAAATAAGGCACAACATTTACTTTATCTAGACAACTAATTTTATAGCTTATAGTTATTTAAATATTCCCATTAGAAAGAAAAAGGTCTGGCTGTGGTAACGTTACGCCAGCAGGAAATGTTTTTGTGAAATAATTAAAAAACTATAAGCGCAACAAATTTAAAAATGTGCGCAACAATTACAGAAGCCGCACAACTAATCATCTATAAGATTCAAATGGCCATTGTCGACAACATCTGGCCTGGGTAACGGACACCCGGCAACGTATCTACTTATAGTAACTCTTTGGTTTTACAAGCGTCTATGGGCTGCGCGTTGATTGCTTACGATCCAGGTAACCCGTCTGCTCGTTTGCCGACCTGACATAAACAAAACAAATGTGATGATATGTTATTAGATCGTCAGGAGCTGAAAAAAGAGCTAAAGAGTCCACTTTCCTGGGAATAACTGTAGACGACAAACACACACTACACACCACAACACATCAGATCTATAGCAGGACGATTGGGCTATGAAGCTTATGCTGTCTGAAAGATCCGACAACTAAGCGACGTAGGCACCATGCGACTAGTGTACTTGAGCTACTTTTATGGAATCATGTCGTTGGAATTGGCAAAAATAGAGAAGTTAATAAGGCCTGAAACTGCGGTCGGGACCGTCTCGTATACACTCGAGCTCACCCTCATCGACACGCGACGGTTGACTGTCGCGTCGCGGGGCCCACGCAGCTTAACGCAGTTTCAGGTCTTTGAATTTACTCGTCAAATCATAGCAAGGTATATAGCTAAACGGCGACCTCCTCCTCGACGTGCCTTTGCAACAGTTTCGTAGCGAGGAGGCGGGCCCAGTTGCATGGGTGCGTGGCACGCCTCCTTGAGGCGGTCGCACGCGGGAATCCGCGACGAAACGCTTTCTTTAGTATGAAACTATCGCAGTTTCAGGCCTAAATGTTACAAAAAAATCAAATTATTGACAAAGAAAACTTTATTTACACAAGCATACTATAAACTAAGTGATTATTTATAGGATAAAAAGCCAGCTAGCTTCAAACAAACAACAAAACCCTCATGATTTTTATTGATTTATGAAAATTGAGGGATTTTAATTATGGAATTATACAACATGGTATTTACACGTTGATGAACTTTAAAGTTTCTGCAAGTGCCTTCTATATTATTAGAATTAAATTAGACTAGTAGAATATGAATACTTGTGTCAGCTTGGAGTTGTCATGCTCACTCACGAGCATATGCTCAGTCACGAGCTCTCATTGGCGGTGGCGCGGGCAATGGATCGCTCGATTCCCTACAATATGGATCAGTTGGGTGTTGCTGGTGTACGTGAACAGGTGAACAGGCACCGTCAATTAGGACTTATCAACTCGAGACTGTCGTAAATATTTCCTTTTCGGATTCTTTGACGAAATATGTGTTACACTTTTCTCAAATAATGTGATATGTATAGCTCGCACGGCTCTGACCCGTTAGACCAGCTCAGTCGGGACTTACTAGGATCAATGCGGGATAGAGGTACCGGAGGTCCAATCCTTCCCCTCTCCCAATCCCTAAAAAGTCGGCAACGCACTCGTAACTTCTCCGTTGCGGGTGTCCATGGGCGGCGCTGATTGCTTACCATCAGGTAATCTGTCTGATAGTTTGCCGACCTTTCACATAAAAATAAAAAATATAGGATGGTATCAAATGACTTTTCGCCTCGATTGTGGCGAGAAGTGACACACAGCCTTACTGATTAAAAACCCACCGTTCCTTGTCCTGCTCCAGGCCTCGGTACACTTTTACGGAGTTTTTCTTCTGTAAAGCGTAATAAAAGGCGCCAATCGCGGAGCGTAAAAGACCAACCCAAAAGTGCTCATTACAAGCAATGTATGGGCGTCCCGCGACTGTGTAAATAAGACCTAATTAGACAAAAAATGGCCACAGTGAATTGCCTGTCGGCTCACCATACATGTCCGCCTGCTGGATTTCTACTATTATCGTTCATTAGGTGGCCATATGTGTGTTGCAGAATATTGTCGGGGCTTATCTGCGCGATCGGCGGAGGGAGATTACATGCGGAGTTCCACAGGGATCTGTGCTGGGTCCTTTATTGTGGAACCTCGCTTACGATGCGGTCCTGCGTGTTGTACTTTCCGCTGGTGTCCATGTCATTTGCTACGCAGATGATACGTTGGTAATAGCCAGTGGGAATACCTTTGAGGAGACTATCCGGCTTTCAGAGCTCGGGGTGGCAAATGTCGTGGCTTCAATCCGCGGACTGGGTTTGGAGATAGCGCCTCATAAAACCGAGGCTCTATGGTTCCATAAGCTCCCTAGGACCAGGGAGCCACCCAGTTCGTCGGTATACGTTGGAGATGCGCAAGTCCAGGTTGGGCAATACATAAAGTATTTAGGCCTAATCTTGGATGGTCGGTGGGGCTTCGAAGAGCATTTCGAACGCCTGGTTCCTCGAGTCGAGAAGGCAGTGGGTGCCCTGCACAGACTGCTGCCTAACATTGGGGGACCTCGAGAAGAAGTTCGGCGCCTCTACGCGGGCGTCGTGCGGTCGATGGTCCTTTACGGGGCGCCTGTTTGGTCAGCTCGACTGTCAGGCGTTCGACGCTGTAGAGCGAAAATTTATCGTTTACAGCGGAAAATGGCCATCCGTATCGCACGGGGATACCGAACGGTATCCTTTGAGGCGGCAACTCTCCTGGCTCGCTTTCCGCCATTGGATATCCTGGCGGACACGGACGCGAAAGTCTACGACCAAATTCGCACTGTCCGACGAAATGGCGGTAGAATGCCAGGAGTGGCGTTCGTTAGGCTGAGGCGGCAAGAGAGGCGACACGCGCTCGAGCGGTGGCGTGAGCGGCTAGAACAGCCGGAGTTCTCACGCAAGCGCGTTATTGAAGCCATTCTGCCGCACTTTGAAGCCTGGCTGAAAAGAGAGGAGCGCGTCTCCTTCAGGCTTACTCAGGTGCTAACCGGACATGGATGCTTCGGGGAGTATCTGAACAGGATTGGGCGAGAGGCCACGGCAAATTGCCACCACTCGAGGAGTGCCCAGCGTGGGCTTCTGAGCGGCGGGTCCTAGTCGCCAAGATCGGGCGAGACTTGTCTCTGCCAGCAGTAGTTAGGGCTATGCTGGCAGATGCAGAAAATTGGAGGGAAGTGGCTTCGTTTTGCGAGACTGTTATGTCCCAAAAGGAGGCTGCTGAGCGCGATCGCTGGGAGGGCCGATCCTGCTCGTAGAAGGCGTCGAGGAGGCAACCGCCTTGACGCCTAATACGCCGAATCCCGCCTGCATGAAATTCAGGCGGACCTTTGGGGTCACGGGTGCATAGAGGGGGGACTCTAGGTGCTCATTCAGTGGCCCCAGGGAAGACGGTGGTACAGTGGTCACGTACCGCCGTACACAGCGAGGCTCGTACTCGAGGGATGTGCCGTCACAGGCGTTTCATCGTGGGGGCTCCGGAGCAGGTCTCTTGTAGAGGACCCGGGGCCCCTTACGGGTGATGAGGGTGGCCACCGGGGTGGTTTTAGTGAGGTAAAAATCCCACACTCCCTAGTCTTTCTCCCCAAAAAGCTAGGCGCCTTTTGAAGGTTTCCCCCCGTAATCAAAAAAAAAAAAAGGTGGCCATATGTGAACAGTTAACTAAAAACAGGCATAATACTGGGCTTTTAAAAAAACAACAGAGTATGTTTTAAATATATAATTTATTATTCTCATACATGATTCAAATCAGTCATTGTGACAACACGGTGTGCCTTACACGTGAAAATAAATCCGCTCTGTCATGATATGTTCCCGGCACTGGTTCATTGCGTCTGTCGGTGAATACATACACCGCGGTATAATTATGTAACAAGCTCATTGGAAAGAGATTCTAAAAGACTTGTAATCTGGTTCGATTACACTAGCAAAGAAATAGTGGCCGTCTGAAAGTAAAGCAATGAGTATTCTGCATCCAGAGTGAACCATCAAACTGTGCATTGAGGATGAAAGCGTGGGCCCGGGGGCAAGCACATTGTTACACAAGTCACATTACATTAGAACATTGATTCCACACGACGCGTTTAATGATAATATAAGCTCGCAGCCGCACCCAGCTTCAGTATAATTGACGTTTTACTCAGCTACAGATCAAAATGAGACCACGGAAGTGGGAACATTCATGCCTCGAGGTTGTCCAACACCTAAATCATGTCGCAATCCAATACAATAATAAAGTAGCGGGCATTTATAACAAAAGTTCATCTTTAAATAATATAACTCATAATCAATAGTTAATCTATATAGTATAACGTAATATCTATGCCTAGGCAAAATAATTATCTAAATGTTATAATGTATAAAGAAAATATTATTTTTGGTTAATCGCTGTGATCACCACCACCGGCAAGTGGCAGCAGACATCGAGCGATGCCCTCAATAAACAAATACTGCTATACTAATACACTGCAACATATATATGTCTATGAAACAACCAAATATTCATTGCACTAATACTCCATAATATGTAGCGGCGAAACATTTCCGCCGCCAAGCATATAGTCTGATTAACAATCAACAATACTATCTAAATCAAATAAACGATTTCAAAAACATGTCAAGGGCATGATGAGGCAAACTCAACGCTGTCGTAAAATATAGACGAATGAATAATATAGAGGTCGTATAACAAATAGCGTATAAAAATATGATTATGTCGACGCAGACCGAGCAGAGTTCGGAGCGCGGGTGTCGGTGACTAGATGTATACATACAATACATAAACGATGTCTGCTGCTAGGCTACGAACGAAATAATACTTACAAACAAATACATAGTAAAGCTAACAATTGGTAAGTCCATCGTTTAAGTACATGAAGAATGCTCTAATGGAAGCTAGTCAATATATTATTATATCTATAAACAATAAATGCAAGGCGATGGTCCTGCGGCGCGCCGCGGCTCTCAGCCCGGCTCGCCATTGAGCTATGCAACTAATTACGCTACGACAGTTAATATTGCAAAGTAATTCCACTACACGAGAAGAGACTCGCTAGATTACCTACTAAGTATACTTGAAGGTTAATGTATCTAGCTCTATCCTAAACCAGTAAAAATACCTACCGGGCGAGTGCCCACACTACATGGAACGGTCCAACTAGCCTAAGGTCACCGAGACGCTAGGAAGGGTCAACGACTATGTCACCGCGCGGTCGCGGGAAGCTGCCAATATCACATCCGATAACGTAAACAATAAATACGTAACACTTAATAAAATCTTTTTTAATTTTTTGTAAATTTTGTCTTATCAATAGAGTCGCTGGTCGACGCCCGTGAGCAAGTGTTTGAGCAACAAGGACGTAAACTGATTCAATTTCATGTTACAACGAATGTGGAGCTTGTAAGTTCGTGGTACTGCGCGCGATACTTCAGAGGGGCGCGACCAGCTGTTGGACAAGAAATGGACGCGAGTGGCGAGGCCACGGGACGGCAGAGTAACTCAACGGTGGGGGGGTCGGACGACTCCCCGCCACTACAATCTAAACGTCACTAACAAAAAATACTGAAACACTACGAGTACAACTAGAACAAGATGGACGAAAGTATTCGGCAGAGGGCCACAACAACACAACAAACGTATCTACTACAGAACAGATTACATAGTCTTTTGCGCACACAATGGATGGACGTCGACGAATATCTTTTTTATTTTCTTTAGAAATTTTATTTGGACGTACTAAACATTCGTATCGAGTAGAGGATTCTATGAATATAATAAGATTCGAACAATAAATATAATGTATATCATAAAAAATAACATCGCACTGTTTCATCGAAATCTCCGTCTAATCACACACGTATAAAAAAAGCTTCCGTCAGTAGAGCGCACGCCAGACCCCGCGCTGGTCGGCAGACGGGGCGCGGGGCGGGGTCTGGCTCGCGGGGTTCACTGCGATATCGTAACAACGGTGATAAATTCATATGCGTAATAAAATACACTGATCCTATTACAAAAATACTCGATAAACATCAATTTGACGAAGTGCAATAGATAGATGATATATTGGGAAAATTCGATATCAACTCTGGATCGGTGGCGCGCGGGTGAAGTGAAGGAGACGTAACATCGACACGTGGAACTACGTCAAGCTACGTCAGGCCACGGGGCTCCGGCACTACTGCCTCACAGTAAAAATCAGTCAACTTTAATATTACAACATCAACCGTTCACCCGGCGCGGGACCTTAATCCCATTAATTGTATGTAGGGCCGGGGGGGCGGCGCCCGACTGCACAGTTTGACGGTTCACAGCAAGTCCGGGGCCCGCGCCCCGCCCCCGCGGCCCGGCCCTAGGGTCCCGCGCCGCACTAATTACTTTAAAATTTTATAAAACGTATAAACAATGAGTCCGGGAGTGTCAGCATGTCACTAGTGTCACTAGCCGTGTCAGACGCGCGGCGGGGCGGCCAGCAGCCCCCGCAGGGCTGCGGCCGCGGCCTTCAGCGCGGCCACCAGTCGCTAGAAGTCGCGGCCCCGCGCTCGGCCTCCGCCCCCCGCCTTCGGTACTCGCCGCGTGCGCATCTCGCGGTCCACCTGCAATCAAGCAAAGTTCAATGACATCGAAAAACAAATCATTACGTAATAATTATAAATGATTTTATAATTATTTTAGAAACGTAGCCATACCTCGAGTTCCTCCAGGCGCTGCGTGAGCGCAAGTTTCTGTTGTACGGCGAGTCGCAGTAGTTGGTTGAGCGTCTTCTTCTCGTCCTCGGCGCCGGCCAGCGCCTGCGTGAGTTCGTCGACCTGCGTCACGTACTCCTCGCACCGCGCCGCGAACATCGCGCGCAGACCTACACCCGACGCACAATCATACATTCACATACCTTGTCACTTACACGCGTCGAATGCAACGCTAAGTATAACATTTATTGAGTAAGGAATACGTAATATGTGTATATTTTTGTCAATATAAAGCCATAGATAATTCTCTTCACATATTTGCTTACTAAGACACGCCGTACGCCCGGGAACTCATTTATAGTTGCATCCATCCAATTGCTTACCATCAGGTGATTCGTCTACTAGCTTGTCGTCGTTCTTTATAAATAAGTAGCGGTCGCCAGTGGTTCTGTCCGCGTGGATGTCGATTTTACACTCCTTCACGATTTTTTTAAAGATTTCTCTATACAAACTTTTTCTGGACTTCCACGAATAATTTAAGACCAACATTAGCCAAATCGGTAAAGAAATTGTTGAGTTATAACGTGACAACGAAAAGTGGCATTGATTTTAATATTTATAGATACGATATACTTACTGGAGAAGGTAGCAGCATCTTCCTTGAGTAGACGGAGCTCGTTCCTCAGTTTGAGCATGGTCTCCGTGACGATGATCTTTTCCGTCTCGTATTTCGACTTGAGGTTGGCGAGGGCCACCTCGGCCGTGTTCTTGTTGGACTTGAGGACGGTACGCAACGTCGCGATCTGTTCCCGCTTCGTCGACAGTAACGACTTCAGTTTTATCACTTGCTCTTGTAGCTCTACTACCTCTGCGCCACGCTCCTCTGAGTCCATAACTGAAATTTTGTTGAAAGAAGGTTAGATAGACTGCTGGCTTTTTTCATAATTGAAAATGTTTCAAATGCTTCGAAATTTAAATAGATACTAATGAAGGTTTACAAGATTTGAAGTAATTATATGACCGAATATAACAATAACAAAGTCTACATAAGCATTCGAATTGAGAATCTCCTACATTTTAAGTAGGTTAACACCTGGTTTCTGAAAGGCTTGTCAACGCTAAAATTAACTAATCTGCTGTTAAATCTCTTGTCAAGTCATCTGATTGGTTGTTGATAATTCAGTCAACGAATCAGATGACTTGACAAGAAATTAAATTGATTTTAACATTGATCAGCCTTTCGGAAACCGGGGGTTAGAATGGAAACGACAACGTAGTTTCTGCCAATAATGCCTATATTAATCATTATTCTCATTTACAAAGCGTTTCAAATATGAACAGGAACAAAATATATATTATCTTTGGCTAGAAAAATATACTTTACAGGATAAATTAATATTGGATATTGTAACAAACTACTATTTTCTAACTCGTTTATAATCTGAGATAGGTGGACGTGACGTCACAAAATGGCGTTTACCTCCTATTCATATTTGGAACGCAAAATAATCCTTAACTGATTAAACAAGAGACCTTATCACATGGACTTGTAGTTTTCGTCATATAATGTATTGTAGCATCATGACACAGGTTACCAAACTTGATTTCAAAGAGGTCTTAATGCCCGCAGTGAGAGTATTTGAACCTCTTTGATTTGGAACATTCTTACAGTAGACATTGCCATGTAACATTGTATTCTTCCATACAGAGTGTAAGTTTATTCTGTTAGTTAGAACATTAGGATTGTGGAATGGATTAGTAGTGTTAGGGAATGGTGCAAAAGGATTTTTTGTCCGTAAATTATTCTTTTTATTCCAATTATCTAAGCTTGGATCGTTTTGATTGAAGTTAGAATCGCAATTCTGCGATAATTTCGTCATATTTTCAAAATAATCCGTTATTTCTTTAACACTTCTTGGTGGGTAATCATCGTCATCGTTGCCAGTTTCTAGTTCTAATGACTGTAGGTGCGTTATCAAGTTGTGTAATTTTCTTTTAGTGTCTGCGATTTTCAGTTTGCAGTTGTTTTGTTCTTTCTGTTTCTTTATTGGCGTGTAGTAGGGAACTCGGGACTTGGAATAGTGGTCATTTAGTACACCTGTATGTAGGAGGTAAAAATAGGGAGATTATAATAATTCAAGGAATTTGTAGGACTGGCAGGATGTGGTTTGTAGTTGGTAGTGATGTGTGGTACATACCGGGCTGGTGCCTGTTCCGGGAGTCGAGTGCGGTGTCGAGCGCAGTCCGTAGATGCGTGAGCTGGTCCAGCAGGGTGTCGGCGGAGCGCGCCACGCCCGCGGCGGCCCGCAGCCCCTCCAGCTCGCCGGCGGCCAGGGCGAGGGCCTCGGCCTCCGCCCCGCGGCCCTCCCCGGCGCCCGCGTCCGACTGCCCGGCGTGCTCCAGCAGTACCCGCTCGGGCTGGGTGCCGTTGACGGCGCACACGTGGTGGTAGATCTGTGCCAGGGTTTCTGCCGCCGACAGTAGCGCTGGGCCCGCTGTCGATAGTGCCCTGCCCGCTCCTGGAACATAAGCATTTAATCAGTGTGGCTTAAAACTTGCTTGAACATTAAAATCCTTTTATTTCGTTATAGGATAGCCATAGTTACCTCCGGCGAGTGTCCGCAGTAAGTCTGCGTCGGCCTGCAGCGCGGCGCAGCGTACCTCAGCCTCGGCGACGCGGTCGGCGAGCTGGGCGAGCGCGGCGCGCTGCAGGGCGGCGGCGGACCCGTCGGCGCCGGCCGCGCCGCTGCCCAGCTCGCTGAGCAGGGCCGCCAGACCCGACAGCTCGCCGCCAGACACGCGCCACCATGTCAGCCACTTCGCTGCACGGGCTGATACACCACCAGAGTCCACCTTCTCGTCTTCCTGTAATGATATTGATGAATAATCAAAAAAATCTTCATTGAGCAAAAAAAAACTTTTCCAATAAAATAATAAAAAAGTCTCTTTAAATTTTGTATTCTTTCCTAAAAAGAGTAACAATTTTGAAACGATTGGAACGAGCACCTAACTTCACTGACTATATTATGTTTTGACGTGTCAAAAGTACCTATTTCTGGTTTGGTTGGAATAAATAATTTTAACTTTGAAGTTACTGGAGGCCCAATCCCTGCCCTTCCCCCATACCTTCGCAATTCTTAAATATCTGAAACCCTTATCACTAAAAGGCCGGCAACGCACTCGTAACTCCTTTGATGTTGCGGGTTTCCATGTGCAGCGCAGATTGCTTACCATCAGATAATCCGTCTGCTCGTGTGCCGACTATAAAAAACTACAAAATCGTAATAAAAGTTTCCAAACCCAGAATATATATATGGGACTTGAGTTGAATAATAGTGTGATGTAATATAAATATGTTGTAAGGTACTGACGATGGGCGCGCAGTCTGCATGTAGCGCATGTAGCGCGGAGACGCGCGAGGCGGCGCGCGTGAGTCCGGCGCGCAGTAACGCGGCCGCCGCGCTCTCTGTCTCCGCCGTCACCTGCGCCGCGCGCATCGACGACTGAAGCTGGCTCTGGAAATACAAACAGATATTCATACACAATACTCCATTAACATAATTTGTAATCCTCCAGGCACAAAAAAATAAATTCTAATATAAAAATAAGTGACTATTAACACGATTTCATCAGTTTGACATATATGTATGTATGTAACGGAATCTTTGAACTTCAATTTTACAACTTCAATTTCACCTTCATCTAGAAGTCTTATTAACATGAAAATTACAATAATTTGAAACGCGTTCTAAATCACAACACCTAAAATATCAAGGATCAGAAAACTCCCAAAGAACACTATAAACAATACTTGAAGATTTCGTTATAAAATAAATGAGCCGATAAATAAAAAGAACAATAACTATATAGATATAACGATAAACCTATTTGATTCTATAAGAATTGTCAAATCATCTTTTAGATATTAATAATTTATTATCTAAAACAAGATCAATAAAATAATACAAAAAATTACAACATCCCTAATTCTAATCTACTACAAAATGAGGCTGAATACATCTGAAATATGGCTAAATTAATCTGAACTAACATGTTCCTCCACTCAACTGTCTGACTTGATCTAATTAGCAACAATTCCCAAATCGCATCAAGCATTCCAGGTAATATGAAGTTTAACAACGAGGTCAATTCCATTAGGCGAGGCTGAAATATGCATATACAGGGAGCTTCGCTTGTGTCTGAATATTTCAACGTCGAAACAACGTGTTGGACGGATGCTGTATTTTGTAGTGAAATGGATTGTTTAATATTTCGAAGGTTTTATTTGACTAGGGGCTGATTTTTTAATGGTTAGATAAAAGTTACCTGGAGAATAATAATTATGATGCTGTCGCGTCAGAATGTTTGTATACGACAGACAACATTTATGTGACTATTGAAAAATCAGCCCTAAGTTAAGTATTAGAATAGTAATGCCTGCTAAATGCTTTATGACATAACAACCATTCTTATAACCATTTTAGAAACTAAATTTTAGTTAAAGTTAAAATTATCAGTTGTAGGTATTTGGCTCAATATAAAGAGAGAATATTCATTTATGAATAACTTTTGACTGAAGTTTCTAAGAATCAAAAACTTAGATCAATTTAAAGATTTTGGTCTAACCTCAAATCTCACAAAAACGACTCTTATTACCTAAGCTATAAAGTGGATAACAACTTACATTTTCGTTGTGTGCTTGTTCGAGTTGCTTCTCAAGTCGTGATATTTCGTGTAAGTGTACTTCGGAGAAGAGGTCGGCGTGGTGGTCTCCCATAGCGGTGGCAAGCTCGGCTGATGATGAACCACCGGGTTCACCTTCGTCCTCTGTACCATCTTCTGGCATACCTGGTAGAATTCAGAGTAATTTTCAATAATGAACACTATTTTCATAGCGTTACGTGTTATTTTGCGATGGGTTCCTTAGTTCAAAGTGCCTATGATGAATAACTTTAAAAATAAAGTGGTTCAACATTCACGATGTTTGTTTTTTAAACAGATTGACGGTATTAAATGTGTAATTATTACTTATTCTTACCGTTATTTTTTAATTCGTCCATTGCAACGTATATTTATGATTAAAAATAAAACAAATCGTCGCGTCAGCGTCAAACTAATTTACGTAACATTGTATTCTACAAGGGTAGTTGGAAAACTTACTGTAATTCCTTATTTTTTAATGTTCCAATTTCAAATAGTATAAAATCATCCAGTAAAGGCGGTGTGTAACAAATGAATTCATAAATTAAATAGCTTTCTTTATTAGTTAGGGACACGTAAATAAATAGGTTTGTATTAATAAAACATATACACACACGTTTTTTTTCATTCAACTTTCCCGATGCCGGTTTTTTAAGGATATTTATAAACATTCGCTTTATCATGTCCTCACCTCGTATACTGTAAGCCAAGTTGGTGATATTGTATGCAGCTTCCCTGCTGAGGTGAGCATCGAGCTCCTTCTTTGCAGCGAACTTCGCTTCTCTTTCCGCCTGTAGCGCTTCAAGCGCTTCAGCCAGCTGTCGCTCAGCGATGCGGCGCAGCGCTGCCGTCTCCTCAGCCATAGCTCGCGCATTCTCAGCCTCTTCACGTAACTGTCTGACTTCATGTTTAAGCCCTTCAAATTCAACCTGTTAAGGGAAAAATCATTAGGTTTTTTGTTGAAAAAAGTACAAACATATGGACAAATATCAATTTCTAGTCGAAACAAAATTGGATGTGATTAAGTTTTCGCGGTCAGTTTTCAATATACCGCCACTTTAGAAAGAAAACCCTTGGAACATAATATATAAACATCCTGGTTACTTTTTCTAATCTACCCAATATAATCATAGCAAAATATCTTCAATATTTCACACGAAATTGAGCTCAATTCATTGCTACAATAAGCAATATTCTAGCTTGAACGACGTTAAAGTGAAACAGTTTGGAAAATTCAAGTCTATAAGTTGCAGATACGATTTGCATGATAATATATGGGGCAATCAATTAGGCGGCAGGTTTCGCGACTAGCGATGGGCACGGCTCCAAACTCGCCGTAAAATATCACTACACTGCTTGACATTAACGTAGTCCACTTTGTCATGTGAAAAAAATGTTCCATGTGATGGAGAACAGCTTTATTTTTGGCACATGGCATAAAATTTGCTTATTTTCATCACACATTTGATTATTCTTCCTAAATCATTCATACTACGTTCAAAACGGGAATGGACTTTTTGATCATATATTGATCTCACATCAACTCACATGATGACTAACATTCATCATATTTTCTTTATCGACTAACATTTTAGTCACTAATATTATAAATGCGAAAGTTACGATGTTTGGATGTTTGTTAGGTACTCAATTACGCCAAAACGACTGGACGGATTTGGACGAAATTTGGCACGGGCGTAGGATACACTCCAGAATAGGACATCGGCTACTTTTTATCAATATACCACGCGGGCCAAGCCGCAGGCTGGATTTAAATATCGAAACAGCTACGAGGGGTTTAAAGAGATGTAGTTATCTATGAATTGTGCTACCAACCTGTGATGATCGTAACGCTGAAACTTGTTTCTGTAGCGATATATTCTCGTCTTCCAAGTCTCCGATGTCGACCAGCAGCCTCTGTTCCCGTTGCCTGGCTTCCCTCAGCTCGGCCCTTAGGGCAGCTCGCTCAGATTCCCGCGTCGCCTTGTCCTGCCCTAACTCCGAACTCTCGGCCAGCAAGCGATCCCTCTCACTTACAACGCGATCCAACTCATGACGTAACTATGAACAAAAAAAAAAACAATAATATTTATATGCTGCATAAAAAAACGACACATACACTTCGTTTGATATAAAAATGTTAACAACTAATAAAGTTTCGTTTGTATATCTTAACGCTATAAAGGTGTTCAAGGCGATATAAAGCTTATTGATGGATATATAATGTGTACGATTTATAGCACGATCTTCTCTTTTATGGCGTGAAAAGTACAGGGCTTTGGTACACGCGATGTGCTTTATTGAAATGTTGGGTTTATGGACGACTTTATTTGACATGAATATGTATCTGACGCTCGCTGATCGAATAGATGTCTATTTGGTATAGATTACTTCGTTAATTAAATTTCTATGCGTTTAAATTAGTTTTAGGTGATGTATTTTCTTTCTGTCCCGAGTTTAGCTACGCAAACCTTATTATATTCATATTTGCTTGAGTGTTTTGTCACAGATTCTTTATTTTGGCTAATTTTTGTTCAATACAAATTTTTTCGAAAGTTTATAGCATTTTATACACGCAAACGTATCGTCCTTGCAATATCTACCGACCGTGTTTAAACGACATACTTTTATCCCGTATATTTCTTTTTTTTAATAAAAAATAATTTCGTGTTGTCTGAGCAAGTCCCTACATATAATTACCACAACAGTAGCCTGCCCTGTACTTGTAAAATAATAAAACCGCAAAACTGGGCACAATAATATTTTACGACTGCGTTTCCCCAAAAGTGTACAGTGTAGCGGCCAATGGAAGCGCTCAGTACGGTTTATGATTACGGCTTTACAGCGCATCGTTTTCATTATTATTTTTTGTAATTAAGCACTTTTTTCGTTTCCTTAATGGAAGAGAGCCACCTAGGTAAATAACAAATGATATATTTAAAAATTCGACATTTGAATATCTCAATATTTTAGATCTTTGTTCTAAATTAAGATATTATTGTACCTATTTCAAATCGATCTTTCGCAATTATTTATATTTATATTCGCAATTTTATATTTACGGAATAATATAATGGTATCTCTCTCACATCGCCACAAAGCTAGCCTAAAAGAAAAAAAAAACGAATTCTATGGTTTTAAAAAAATTGACACATTATTATATGGAGCAAAGTAAAACTATAAAAATATAATAATAAAAGTATTAGTTCTAGCTAAGGACGTAGTAGCACCGACCACGTAGGTAAGCATTATAGCGACGAGCCTCGCCTTTTTCGCAAATAGGCGAGACGACGGGGAGTGTCCGAACATAAATTGTAATACGGTCAGGTCTTTGGTCAATAAGCTAACAAAAAGCTACAAAGTCTATGAAATATGCGTAATGTTATTGTTGTCGAGTTAACATTGGTTATTTCATTAATTTGATCTGGACTGGGTCAGTATGACACTGATGGTGACCATATTATAAGTAAAATGCGGCGTTGCTAACAAATTAACCTTTTCTACAGTGAGCTTGACTTGTCTTCCTGTCATATCTAGCTTCTAGGTTGAGGCCAGGTTGCCCTGGGGAGTTTCGTAACCTTTATTATATGGACCAAACCATTCCACCACCACCGTACGATTCTTTGGTCGAAACGTCAAAGAAGAGTTACCGTAAGTTCGGGTTACTTTGACCCTGGGAAGTAACTTTGATCCAAATTTTCGAACCAATGAAAAACGAATATATATTATGTTTTGGTTCTCAGTTATTATTGGTTAAAGGGTTTGGATCAAAGTTACCCCGCAGGGTGAAGTAACCCGAACTTACCCGGTAACTAAAAAAATCGTTTAGCTGTTTAATGTTACACGAATGTTAAACTTAACTGACCTAAGTCACACCGTTATTTTAACAGAAAAAATAACATGATTGCGGATAATCTAAAGAAAAACATAAACTGTCAAAAAACAATGCTAGACGTTTATAAGGAATTTATCAGTAGTAAAAATTAACAATCCAAATATCTTGCTTCGGTAAGCACGCGATCCAGTTGTTTACGAGTGCACTTAATGATCATTGCTCGCATCAGATTACAAGTAATTGCTTCAATTATTTCAAGACTTTGATGAGAAATTATAACACTATTTTTGAGGGGAGTGGCAGACTCTTACTTACTAAAAAGCCCCCGTTCCTTCTATTGCTCTGGGCCGAGACCGTAGTGCCTCATTGCGCTTGTCCCGCAACCCTTGCTGAACATCAGCCTTATAGCCCGTCTGTGGTTGGTATATTGCCTCTTTGAGGCACGCACGAAACGCTACGGCGAGGAGTTACCCTTACTCGCCGTGAGCACACCCGCGAAAATTACAACCATTGATGTTGAGATTTATTGAGATTTTTGTCTTGGGTTAGTGAGCAAGAATAGCCATCTGTTACACCAAGTCTGTGGATTAGCATGCTGAACTGGCACTGTCATATTTATCAGCAATTCGATGACCGTTGGGTTAGATGTCTTCTGGAGTAAAGAAGGTGGACTGGCGATATTCAGAAAGTGATGGCGTCAGTTGGATGCAAAGAGTTAAAGATTAAGATCTGTCGTGCCATTGGAGGACTTACAGAGGAAAGAAACAAGCTAATAAAGATACACTGCGAGCCAGCTTATATGTAAACATATAATTGATATACCTATGAGTAGTTAATATTAGAATATTCTATGAGTGTGTCATTGTAATTTTATTATATCTTAAGTACTACTTAAAACTCCTACTAAATGTTTCCGATCCGAAAATCCCCGTGGTTTTTTTTTTTTTTTTTGGTGTCGGGTTGGAAAATCCTCATGGAGACCCATCGCCCTCGGGGAAGGGCGAAGGGTACTGTCAGACTCTTACTGACTGAAAACCAACCCGGTGTTCCTCCACTTACCCATGTGTCGGAGGGGCGGGTATCGCCGAAGCATTCGTCGCAACCCCCCGACGGTCGCAACCCCCCGACGGATCCCCGTGGTTTGACTATGTGTTCGGTAGTTTTCGATTACTAGCCTGCCCGTGATTGTGTATAGAAAGAATTGCAAAATATTAAAACTAAAATTTAATATCTACTATAACCAAAAAATTGCTAGGCGCTTAAACAATCTTGAGAATCATCATCATCATCATCAGCCTATAATTGCCCACTGCTGAGCAAAGGCCTCTTCTCATACAGAGAAGGTTTGAGCATTAATCACCACGCTTGCTCAATGCGGGTTGGCGATTTCAAACTTATAATTAGAAATTATAAGTCCAGGTTTCCTCACGATGTTTACCTTCACCGTATGTCAGTGGTGTCTAAATAATCATAGAAAGTACGTATAACTTCGGAAAAAGTCACATTGGTACTTGCCAGGTTTCGAACCTACAACCTCATGCATAAGAAGCGGGCTCCTTAACCTCGGGGCCACCACGACCTTGAGAATAGCTGGACCGATTTCCCTAAATCGATTCGATCGATTAACCATGGATAACACCCGGTCTACTACGCTGTATTCGCCATCGGGACAAACTACACAAAAATCTGAAGAAAGATTCTAATAATCAAGTTCTCGTAGTAGCCTATAAACGTTATAGAAATTTTTGTAACGCGTTGTTGAGGAGGTTAAAAAGAAGTCATGAAAAAACTGTCTTAAAAAATGCTAGGACTAATAAAGAGACTTGGTCGGCTATTAAGGCCATTACGGGTAATACTAAACAGAAAACTTCTGCAGATAATCTGCTGAACACTCAGGATAACCCCCATGATGCAGTTGATGAGGTCAATAGATATTTTGCTGGGGTCGGAAAGTTGCTTGTCGATAATCTTACACAAACTTTTGTAACGAGTGAAGACAGCTCCAATAAGTATTATAACATGAATTCGATGGCTCTGCTTCCACCAGATGAGAGTGAAATCGCGTCACTAATCATGAATTTAAAAAACGATAGTGCGGTCGGCTGGGACTCTATTTCAAATAAGTTTCTCAAAATGTCTAAACACATTATAGTCCCACTCTTTACCATCATCGTTAAACTGTGCATTGAGCAAGGTGTCTTTCCCAAAGTATTTAAAAGAGCACTCATTACACCTGTCTACAAGGGTGGGGAAAGGAACAGTGTGACAAACTATAGACCAATTTCTGTGCTTCCAGCACTCTCTAAAGTATTAGAAAAAGTCCTAAACACGCAACTAATAAATTTTCTAGAGCACAATAATATTCTGTCAAACTCTCAGTTTGGTTTCAGAGCAGGTAAAAGTACGGACGGAGCAGTCAGCTCTTTGATGGAATACGTATGTGCAAATCTCGATAGCCAAAAAAAGTGCGTGGGAGTTTTTATTGACCTCGCAAAAGCGTTTGACACTGTCTCGATCTCTATCCTTGTGGACAAGTTAGAAAGGTGTGGTATTCGGGGAATGGTGCTAAAAATTTATACTGATTTTCTCTCGGATCGCCAGCAAAAAGTTAAAATCGATAAATATGTTAGCACAGATGCTGCCGTTACCTGTGGAGTCCCACAGGGCAGTATACTTGGTCCCAGTCTCATTCTTATTTATATAAATGACCTTTGTCAATTATCACTTGAAAAAGCCAGAATTTTTACATATGCCGATGATACAGCTTTCGTCTTTGAAGGAGACTCGTGGGACGATGTACGACAAAATGCTGAAAAGGGACTTCACAGGGCGCATTTGTGGCTGAAAAATAACTTACTAACCCTAAACGTGTCTAAAACTTCATTAGTTCAATTTACCAATTCACGGATAAAACAACCTAACGTAGAGATTCGTATTCATACATGCGATTTCAATGTAAATCACCAATGCTCATGTCAAATTATTCATAAAACTCAGACGGTTAAGTACCTTGGAGTACTCCTGGACGAAAAAGTTACCTGGAAACCCCATATTGACATGATTTCGTCACGTGTCAGAAAACTTATATGGTTCTTTAAAAATCTTAGGCATGTGGCTGACTTTGAACTTCTACGCACTGTATATTATGCGCTGGTTCAATCTGTCATTGGTTACTGCATATCGGTCTGGGGTGGTGCATGTAAAACCCACGTCATTCAATTAGAGA